GCAGTGTAAAATTCCCTATGACATTTATTTATTATCACATCACAAAACTATCGATTTTCCTCGTCGACAAACAACTTAACACCTCTACTCACCTCATACAGCCGCACGATTTTCATGTCATTTGCCACGTGTGGACTGCGTATACACGACGCGGCCATACACCCTGCATGGGGAATTAGTAAACAATGTGTTGATTATTCATTGTCCACCCTTTAATACTAATCGCCATGAGCACGCTCGGTGTACACGTGCCGAAGACAGCACCTGAATTTAAATGACGAAATTCGGTATAGATTTAAGTGGTAACGGTTTGGAGAATCTGAAGTGGAGTAACGTCAGCATGTGGAGGGTTAAGTTCTTATGCAAATAAGTAGCGAAATTATCAAAATTATGAGCAAAATTATGGAATCACCATATTGGTTCCGAGCGATAATAAGAACTAAGTGACTAATCTATACTATCTATCTATGCTAATAATATTATAAATGCGAAAGTAACTCTGTCTGTCTGTCTCGCTTTCACGCCTAAACCACTGAACCGATTTTGATGAAATTTGGCATAGAGATAGTTTGAGTCCCGGGAAAGGACTTAGGATAGTGTTTATCCCGGTTTTTGAAACAGGAACGCGCGCGATAAAAAAATTCTGTGACAGACAAAATTCCTAGCGGGCGAAGCCGCGGGCGGAAAGCTAGTAGAAGATAAAAAGAGACAATCCTTAAGAGATACCTGCATAGTCATTCAGTTCTTAAAATTACTCGGAACAAAATACGACGGAGTGATTCCATACTTTTGCTCGTAAGTGTATTAGAAAGATAAAAGATTCACAGCCTAATGTGATAAAAAATGTAGAAACCAGTTCAACCCTTGGTAAATTATACCTATCTTACAAATAATATAAAAAAATAATCCAATACATAAATAAAACGCCATAAAGTAACTAACAGTGTTAGGTGGTAACCACTCATGTTTTCTGTTTTCCACAAGTCATGCACGTAACTGTAGAACTTGCTTGCAAAGAAAAAGAGGAACAGGAAAAACTTCAACCCTTTGTAAGTAGAGCTTTCACTTAAGTCCGGAACCACAACTAGATGAAAGCTCCGAGTTAAAAGTTCAAAGGAACGGTGCTAAGTTACATTGTTATAATATTATACCTAAGTATGTATCTACCTACTACGTTTGTATAGATGTGTTTTATAAGATTTTAAACTTTCGCATTCCATTTCAACTAAAATAGAGAAACACGGGTCACAACGTGACATTTTTCTCTGTTTTAGAATTAGATAGTGTTTGTACTTCAAATACAAATAACAAAATTAAACTAAATATTCAAATCATATCGATGCTACCGTTATTCGAATCCGTAACGGTGGATCGATCCTTTGAAGATAATATTTCGGATGTTCAGGTGTTTGAAGGAAGTGAGAAATGGTAAAAGAGTACCGATATATTTGGGTATTGTTTAATAAGGCTCCCACGGAAGGGCTTTTGATTGTTGATCGATAAGCTCGATATTCATAACGGTTTATATCCAAATCGAGTACCCACCCTCTTACCAACGATATTTTCATTATAACCTTAGAGATTTGTCTGGCGATTTCCTACTTTTATTTTTATCATCATGATTTTCAGATCGTCAGGCTGGAAGCGGCCTGCATCCAGCACCTTACTGCAATCCTCTCATTTTGATTCCCATGTGAATAAAAAAATCTACGGATAAAAGGAATTAAAATACAGAGAACGTAAATAATTAAGAGATGTTTCGTGACCCTCACTTTCTTTTTCTCCTTAATCTATTGCGACAATAACATTAGGTACATTACCGTAATAATCGTGAGATACAGAATGTCACAATTTGATAAAAATCTTAATACTCTACAATGTCTTAGCGAAAATATTTTTCCTTTTTGCAAAACACTTAGCAATTTGTAGTTTAAAATTATCTTTCGTGATCTAGGAAAAATATTTATTTCATTTCTAAGCTGAGCGGAGCCCAATTTGGTGTCATTTTATTTTTATTGTTAAGTTTTATATACAAAATTTGTAACTAAAATTATTGTGTGTTTAATTGCTTACTTGGTTGTATAATGAGTGCATGCAATTTGATGCCAAACAAATTAATAAAGACAAAACCTGTCTTTCGAAACTTCACAAATGATACAAGTAGCTCTACCTAGCGATGATTTGCTACAACAAGTGGTTTCTAAACCACGGATCAAGCTTTGGTAAAAGCTTCCGGGGCGGGCTTCCAAGCTTTTTGCTCAAAAACATGGGTAGATGGCGCTAGTATGTAATGTGTGCTTTTGATTCCATATCAGCTCCTTGAGGTCCACCTACCTATAATTATGTAGGTATCATATTATGTTTAAGATTAGTGTATGTAAATTCAAATTCTATTTATGTACTTCTTAAATAAAGCTTAACAGCTGCATCGACGCACTTTTATTCTGCTTTTATACAGATTTTCTATCTTACATGATTTATTTGTCGGCCGTTTGGTGTAGTGGTTCGAAACGGACTTCTATTCCGGAGGTTGCGGGTTCGATTCCCGCACAGTACAAATATTTGTGTGCATGAACATATTTGTTTGTATTGGACTGGGTGTTTTCTATGTATAATAAGTATGTATTTACAAAAAAAAACGTATTTAAGTATGTTTATATCCGTTGTCTAGTACCCATAGTACACAGCTTTGCTTAGTTTGGGACTAGAAGCGCAGTGTAAAATGTCCAATGATATTTATTTATTATTATTTATTTATTTATTATTTATTTAAACCACGAAGAGCGTTCATAGAAGTGATAAGGTTAAACTTATACTGAGACGTATAAAAGCAGTTTAAATAGCCTATTTGTAGAAAATACAAAACTTACGTCAGAATAGGCATGATAGAAATAGCAAATTATTTAAAACAAATTACTCAAAACCAATTGAACGAGTCCCGGCATAACTTTTTGCCACAAAGTTGTCGACTCGGTGGTGGTTGAAGGTAGCACGTTCATTCTTTTCTTCAACTTATCAATGAAGGTTCTATTAATATGCTGCCATTGAAACATTGTAGAGTTCTGGAGAGACATGAAAGCCTTCTTCGATTCACACGCCAACATGTCGACTACTTTGAAAACTGGAAAGGAGAATGTAAAATAGTTTATTATATTAGTAATATGTTCTTCTCGATAAAAACCTCACTTTAAGGTAGGTAGGCACTCTGCATACTACGATAAAAATGTTCTGTAAAAACAAATATGCATTCTATTGATATATTTAGTTTAAAAAACCTTCAAAGCTATTTATAAGGTGTGAGAGGAATAGTAAAGCAATTTCTGAAGTGAGACTTTATTAATTGAAACCCTTGTGGTTAAAAACTGAATAAGTTTGCAAATAGAAGTGGTCTCAAAGGCTTCAGTGGATTGGATACGTTGCACCTGATAGAAATATCTCGCTAAAGCTCGGGCGGAGAGAAAATGATTGCAATAAAGCTGCAGGCGATAAAAATAAACTGTAGATAAATTGCATTTACTCTTTTATGGAGGAGCCGTATTTAGAAATCTTTTTCTATCATGTTTCGTACAATGTGAATTTTTATCTCAATTTGTTATAGTTTGATGAAGTATTAGAAAACATTTTATAAAACGGTTTTAATTAATTAACCAGTTGTCCTAAATGAGCGACACAACGTGACATGAAGCGATGCGATGCGATGCGACGCGACGCGACGTACCTAATGTGACCAATACTTCACATGACGTTTGATAGATGTCATGACACACGACTACGTGGACTACTAACTACAACGACTATTCGATAGTTATCGTGCCGCGTTTGTCGTTCACCTAGGACAACAGGTAAGGGCTCTTTCACACGGAGATACCCTCTTTTTTGTAGGGACTCTTTTAAAAGGATCCCGTTTACAAATATTCCGTTTGCAGTATCCCGCAAAAAACCGATTCATACGTACCTATTTGGAATTCGAATTTCAAATACACAATTTTGTGTTCACGTGACAGCAAACTTGCGAGATCCGCAAAACTGAATTTCCGTGGAAAAGGGCCCTACATATTAATGTAGGGCCCTTTTGTACGGAACGTGTGGCTTCTTATACTTACATCCTCCTTTGCAGTTGACGTCAAACATCGTGCACATGTCCTCGAACTCGGCCAGCTCCATCGTCTTGATGTCGTACCCGCATTGCTTTGGAGGCCCGGGAGTGCACGTCCGGTGCTTGTAGCAGTTGAACTCCGCGAACCTCTTTGCTGTGACCGGGTCTTCATACTGAAAAATACATAGATATACTGCTTTCTTATGCAAACGTAAATAAATAAGTAATATTAGTAGATTTTTGAATAGTGATACCTATAATTTTTACAAGCGGTTTTTCTTGTTCTCACTTAAGTAGAAAATGAGGACGCAGGGCACATAGCACGTAGAACTTACGGCTGATGGGGTTCTGGAGTGTAGGCCACGTACCAGAAAACTCAGCGTGGGACATCCACTCACAAGATGGACCGACGACCTGATAATGGTAGCAGGAAGGCGCTGGATGCAGGCCGCTACCAACCGTGCGATGTGGAATTCATTGCGGGAGGCCTATGTTCAGCAGTGGACGTCCTGCGGCTGAAATGTTGATGATGATGATGAGCACGCACAAGCTAAACATCTCAACTGAGAAGCCGCGCGGGGGATAGTGACAATGATGATGCCAACTTTCCTTTACATCCTTATTTATTACAATCTCAAGTAGTACTTACGTCTTGGAAAAACGGTGTAGCATTTAACAAAGAAAAGTACAGCAGTGTTACTGAAAAAAACAATAATAAGAGAAATAAAATTTTATTTATTTTAGACTTATCTCTTAAAAATCGAGTTACCATTAAATTATTTCAACGAATCACAACTAATTTTGTAATTATCGGAGTTCTTGTAAATCTTACCTGTAAAAGCACAATGAAAATGTAGAGACATTTTGAAATATCAATTGAAAATAAAACACGCTTCTTATCTTTATGAATCTTAAATGTATAATTATAATGGAATAATCACATGGTAGCTGACCAACATTAGTTAATGCCAACGAATATAACGACGCGGTTTCAAGCAATTCTCGACGCTAACGCCGTTCGCTGTGAAATCTGTGAAACAAATAAAACTTTGTTAATATGTGAATAAGTTATTGTTAACTATTGCAAACCTAATATAGTAATACAAAGTTTGCAGTTTTGCCTGATTTCTAACTAACTATACATACAAATTGCGTGGCAGCGCGGGCGTGCACCGGTTATATCCAAAATATCTTCTTTTACTATACTTTCCTTTTGCAATCGAGAAGCTCTTGGTCTGTTTGATCTGTATTGTATCTCATGATAGAAAGGTGCTGTGCATCTCATTTCATCACAACATGTCTAGTAGTGCATAGAAGCATGGACTAAAATTTTTGCACACGTCGACACGGTGAGAGTTATCTGGGGGCACGGCAGTGCCCCCACCAAGTCGAGCAAAAAGCGGCACGGCCGTACCATCCTTTTCTCGAAGCAATTCAGGCCATTTTCGACCGCCTGTAACTTCGTTGTGGATAAAACTAGAAGGCTGAATTTTCATTAGCTATGCAGGCATTGTAAAGACACGGTATATTTAAAATTTCATTCAATTTGAACCAGTAGTTTAAGAATTATAACGGGTCAAAGTTACTTAATTTTGTCACTCACTGACTGACTCACTGACTCACTGATCATCAAAATTCTAAGGCACTTCTAGCAGACCTAGAAGCTTCAAATTTGGAATATAAGTAGTGTTTGGTGTATGAATCAAGGAAAAACTAAAATATTTGGGGGCACGGTAGTGCAACCGCCAAGTCGAGTAAAATTTTTCAATTTCGGTCCAGTTTTCTAGATACATAACTGCTGTCTACAAAATACAAAAAGAAATGAGATCCCATCAAAAACAATACTTGTCAAAAAAACCAAGTCTCGCAACTCAGTTGTTCTACGGTAAAAAGTTGTGAGATCCATGTAATACCAAGTCCAGGCCAGGAAATCTTTAACGTTTTACATAAATATATTGACTTGGCCATCGCATGAAAACACGTGTAAATTAAATTATTTAGTGCGATGGCCAAGTCAATAATTTATGTAAAACGTTAAAGATTTCCTGGCCTGGACTTGGTATTACATGGATCTCACAACTTTTTACCGTAGAACAACTGAGTTGCGAGACTTGGTTTTTTTGACAAGTATTGTTTTTGATGGGATTTAAAAAAATTCTTGAGCTTATGTAGCATACCCATACCCATCTATACTTCTATACTTAATATTATAAATGCGAAAGTAACTCTGTCTGTCTGTCTGTCTGTCTGTCTGTCTTGCTTGCTTTCACGCCTCTAAACCACTGAACCGATTTTGTTGAAATTTGGCATGGAGATAGTTTGAGTCCCGGGAATTCCACGCGGGCGGAGCCGCGGGCGGATAGCTGGTATTTATATACGTATATTATTGTTTTCACTTTTATTTACCATGTCCTTCTTCGCAGTTGTGCTTGTACATGGTGCACACGCATTGGAAGATGTGGGTCTTCTTCAGGCGGCGGTCTCTTGCGCAAACCGGCTCACCTTGAAGCAAGAAATACATAAAAATAGAATTATTAATTTATAACACAAAAACAAGATTCTTGAAGTTCTTCGTCCGAAGTTTCTAGTGATCAAAAAGTACTTACTGTTTAATGCCATGATTGGTAAACTTGAATTGGAATTACTTGGTACAAAGCGTATGAATAACTATAGTTCGTTTCAGTCAACTGAATTAGGGTTTAAATGGTTGATTTATAAATTGTTCCTACCTTTAGTGTGGCAATACTTGGCCCGCCAGCACCAGTATTCTTTAATCACTGCTGACAAGCGAGGGGGCTGTTGAAGTTAAAATAATAAACGTTAATTTACAACAAATATTATTATTTATTATAATAATTAAACAGTAGTTAAGTACTACAGTAGTGTGATGTCATTATGAGTTATTCTTAGATACTACTCCTTTAGAATTTATAAAAGGTTATTTTATCTCGTTACTGAATTAGGAACTAGATTCAGGACTTTTTATGGAGTGTATTTTTGACATTTATTTTAGGATAGCAGTTTAATATCAATTTCTGGATTTCCTGGTCAGGTGAGATTTAGATTATAAAATAAAAACAGTCTAATATTGTCTTCCTGACTACTTTATTATCTTATCATTCATATTTTCTTCGCTCTGGGTCCAACGGAGGCAATGATTCACACTGATCCATTGAGGTTTTTACGTATTCTGTAAATAAATACATTTTACTCATTAAAAAACATTTTGCAGCACTAAGTCGTATAGGTACTTTTGATAGAAAAACTTGACTGTATGTTTGGTTTGGCTTATCCACAAAACGGCTGCACCAATTTAACCAGGATTTTCATTTGATATACAGAGCTACCTTTGTTTGAGAAAAATAATTCTAAAAGGGTTAAAAAAGCTTTTTTATGCAGAACAAAGCAGTAAAACTGCAATCACACCTGATGTTCTTGTGAGATGCAGTCTAGGATGGTACATACCTGCCCTGTAGGTGCCTATTCACTCTCGCCTTGAAGAGGCCCAGATAATAGTGTCCGGGAAAGACAGCAGCAGGCAGTGAATTTCAGTCCCTAGCTGTAGTTAGCGTATTTGTAACTCGTGAATTTGTAAGCAAAAGAATTTGTACCTTTGAATTTCAAGCAGTTGTACTCTAACATATCGCAAATATCGAAGAATCTCCGGGGTTCCCCTTGGTAAATGCCGCACTTCTGCTTGTTATTATGGATACAGGTCCTAGCGTTGTAACATGCCTGAAATATAAATTAATAGTCATTTAAAAAAGCAAAAAATGAGTCTGATAACTTGTTATACAAAAGTAATGACTAATGACTCATCCTATTTATTTTAGTCTTAATTTTCTGTATGAACACTGATTAGAAGAAATAATAATTCCAGCTTTCATCAAGCATTCTAGAAAATGTAACATTCTTATGAGATTCAACAGCGGGGTGTCCCTAAGTTAGGTATTTTTCTCGGATTAATTCTGAAAGCGAATCTTCTTTTATCTGTTTGAATGATTAGCCTTCCGGATTTAAAATAGCGAAATAATTTAGGTAGTAAGGACGAATTTTATAAAATCAATACTTACAGCTTGATTCACTTCAGACGAATAAACAACGGTAGTCAAACTAATCATGCCTGAAAATAAAACGAGATTTTTCAGTCAGCTAAGACCACTTTTTTCAGACTCCGATGTCCAAAAGTGGGCAAAAACTTTTGCTCGGTATGGTAGGGCTTACTCTTGGTCCGCTTAGCTAGTTTCCACCATGTTATAGGTATAATGGTTATAACAAATATTAAAATTCATCATCATCATTTCAGCCACAGGATGTTCACTGAACATAGGCTTCTCCTAATGATTTCTAGATTGACCGGTTGGTAATTGTAAGCATTGTTGTTTCAGTAGTATTTTACATTTAAATGTTAATGTAAGTAATGGCTGAAAAGAAGAAGAAGTACTTAAAAACAATTAAATCTTACCTACAAATACGACAATAAACATAGTGGAAAACTGCATTGCACTTAACACACCGTGAACTAGCAATGTGAACGCGATAAGCACTTTATTGCGTATACCTAACGACTATAAAACAAACTATAGCTAAGTACTTAGCTCAAACAAGTACTTTAACTAGTTTACTGAAAGAAAATCTAAACTGGATCTTGAGATGGATTACTAGTTGAATCTCTACTACTGAACCAATTTTGTATAGAGCTAGATTGAGTCTCAGTTTTTAATTTTGTTAAATTGACGAGCAGCAGTATCAATATAAGTATTAAGTTTTGACTGTAAAATATTAGGAATATTTTAAAAAACTCATTTTATTTTTCCAAGTAGGCTTTTAAAAGCACTTTTACACGACCCAGTCTTAACCCTACCACTGCTTCGCGGCAATAAATGGGCCAGTGCTGAAAAGAAGCAGCGCAAGAAACTCAGTCACTATTGTCAGCTTCTTTTTCAAGGGGTTAAACATTCCAAACATGACTAACTTACAAGTTATCTAGGGTCAAATAATTCGTGAAAAACTTCTTCATCATCCTTAGCAATCCACGATATTATCATTTATACAAATGCCAAGACTGTTGGTATGGAAATTAATAATTACAATAACAATACTCGTTTGTAACGTTGACTGTAAGAAAAAAAACAAAAAAGTAAGTGCCTGCATTTTTATATTTTATTTTCTTATTTTGTGTCGTGTGCAATAGTGTTATTTGTCTATACCTACCGAATACGTAGGCGACGAATGATCTCACTAAAGTATTTAACTTCTAGCCAACTTGCGTCGATGCGTTTCTTTGCCTCCACACCGGTAAAAGGAGATGTGGCTTGGACCCAACGACCAGGGAAGTCCGGTGGTTCTTAAACAAGTGCGACATATTGGAGTTTAACTGCGAATATAAAACAAGTAAGTTCACATACTGATGGTAACCGTTATTTTATTAAATGCCTGAATTATATTAATCTTTGACGTATAACAGTTTACCTACACTGAAATACCTTTCCTTGAGCTAAACAACCCATCCCATATCAACACAATAATTATCTTGAAAAGAATGAAAGTAGAGTTCTCACAAGTCTACATTACAATAATATTATTCTATGCGCGATAAAAACTTTTTGTGAATGACCAAAAGCCACGCAAGCAAAGCCGCGGTAAAACATAATGGGTTCCATCATAGCTATTTTCCCTAACAACTGAACCAGGAAAGACCTAGATAAAGGCCTAGAAAGCCTAGAAAGGCCGGTTTTGAAGCCGCTTGCATCTAGTAGTTCCCTGCAACCTTTATAAAATTTTCCCTTATTATTAACTATTTCAAGTAAATGTTTCTATTTCAGGCTTTGAAGTAGCTCCAAGGTCCAAATGTAAACACGTTCCACCATTGTAGGATATTTACAAACTGTCACAGGCTTCAGGATTCGAGGTAATGTAACAGGAAGCTCCATCAGACAATAGAATGTGTAAACATGGCTAGGACAGTCAATCAACGTCACTTTTAGTTGGCTAACCACGGATAATAGACATGGTGTCGACAAACAGCGTTTCAGGTGGGACTAATAATACTCATTTGATTTATTTGCTTATGATACAAAAGTGCTGATTTCAACGTGTCCTGAATATTCTTATAAGGTGGACCAAAAATTGCATAAATCAATGCAGTTTCCCGCTACCCACCTCTTCCTTGAACAATTTTCGAGAAATCGAGCACCATTTGGAAAAAAAAATTTTGTCCATCCTATACAAATATTGATATCGTGGTTAACAATCTTACATCGGGTTCATAATAAACGATGGCTCCCTTGTAGTGTTGTTGTATAATATGTATTTGTCTTTAATTTTCAGTGCTCCTGCTTATTTTATTCATCACAGCATTAACAGTAGCCCATGGGCCTCCATCGGACCGAGACAACGAAGATATTGCTATGGGCCGAAAGGTAACGTTTAAACATACTATCACTATTAAAAAGTTTGCAACTAACAATCTACACAAACAGTCAGTTTTCTAGCTTGCCATGAATTATAAAGAGATTCACATCTCTCAGTCCCACTAGTAGTACGACCTCTACTAGCTACAATATAAAAATCTACATTATTAAACTTGATGTACCGTCTTCGGTATTGAGAGTAGCATAATTTAAGAAGGCGCGTAATATCATATAGCTTGCTAGGTATAAAATTTTATTGTAACTCTCATGGGATTTAGCAGAACAGATATTTACCCTGCTACGATGAGGTATGTCACAACTTTTTCGGCAGCTCAATTTAGGTACGTATTCTCTAATTGTTTTCCAATGAACTAAATATAAAAAGTAATTGAGTTTTCTGGGCTAGTTATTATGTTTTCTTTTAGGCATTTTGCCTTGGTTTGAGGTGTCAATTACCATTTCTTCCAGATGGGAGCGAAGTGGTGCAGCATGGCGAAAGTGTGCAACCACGACCGCGTGCCCATCTGTGGGATCAGCCATGCCGGTGACGTCATGGGATTTCGGGACCTCTGCGACATGTTTGACTTCAACTGCATAAGGAGACGAAGTCAGTATAGATCGCGCCAATAGAAACTATCAATTTTGTAAAATAGACATAATTTGAACTTTAAATATTCTAAAAACCTCGTTGACCATCTCTGAATAAAGTGTCAAGTAGGCTATCGTTGCTTAAAGTCACGAGTGGTAAAGAACCATGACACTGTAAGACTTGACCCCAGAATCCTTCTTACTTTTACCATTTTTACTAGATAAATACAGTCACATAATCATCAAGTAACTAGTTATTAGAACTTTACTAGGAGATCGTGGAGGAAGCCTTTAGAGATGGATTGGTGGTTGGATTGGTGGTAGATTGGTGGTTGGATTTAACCAGAAGTTTTATTGATTGATTAAAGACAGGATAGCAGATCTCTAGGATCTGTCGTAATTTTCATCCCTATCGTAACAAATAGGTATATCTTTCATTTTATGTAACGAAACACACCTTTTAGGCCATGTTAATTACAATAATGGATAGCTTTGCAAATTCTACTCTGTCCTATGACAACAGATTTAGTAAAGTTAGAATCAGAATTCAACCAACATTGCGCTGTTTCTCTAATAAATTAGAATGATGAAGGCAGCTGAAGGTAACTTCAGGAAACATTGGTGGTGACAGACGGTTAGGCTGGGTTGCTCCGTCTCACTTTAACTATAACAAACGTCAACAATCTGTCATCCAGCGCCTTCCTGCTTCCTTTATGAGGTCGTTGGTTCACCTTGTGGGTGGACGTCCCACGCTGCATTTACCGATACGTGGCCATACCACAACCTTGCTGCCCCATCGGCCGTCAGTTCTGCGTACTATGTGCCCTGCCCATGGCCACTTCAGCTTGCTAATCAGGTTCGGATACAATAATTCAGGTTATAGTTACGTCGTCGGTAATGGTTATAGTTACGGTTAATTAAAGGTGGTGCAACTCAGAGTTAGTTAATATTATGGTAGGTAAGCAGGCTATCCTACCAGTAGGTAACCAAAACGAGGAGAAAACTTTTCCCCACTTGGAATCTAATCTGGGTCTGACACAAGCGAACCACTAGACTGCAAACGCTGTATAATTTTTTTCTTCTGTGCTTTATCTGCAATCAGTCTCAATATGTAATTTATTTCTTTCTTTCTTTCAGATTATAAGCAGACTGCGTGTCCAGAAGACAAATCCATCCTGACTGTGTCCCGCAGACCGACTAATAGCTACTACGATGATTAAACATTATGTAAATGATGCTAATGTAAATTGCTATGTATTTTAAAGTATATTAAATATGCAAGGATTAGTATATGACGCACTTTTCATCTTGTTCCTAATGAATTAGTAATTATGTTTAATGTATTCGCATTTTGACCTAATTATTTACATGTTTGTGAATAAATATAGCTTGTGTCCATCAAAAGTTGCACGAGGTTTACTCGTAATATTTTGTGTTTTATTAAAACAGTTTTGAATTTACCTTTATGTTTTATTAAACCCTTATAAAAATAACATAATTTAAAAATTAAATTACGCGGTAAAAAGAAAAATTATGTTATTTTTCCGAATGCCAGGTTAAAGGCAAAGCTGCAACAAATTGTTTTGAATAGTCTGTAGAGTTCATAAAGTTAAGGCTTGTAGAGTTAAAAGATCTATATGATATCTATCTGAGATTCTATATGAGATCTGATAAGTTTTAGACAATGCAAGGTCCTAGCAAAATTTTACATGAAAATGTTTTTGGTACGATGTCCTTATTCCAGGTTCACTACATTTAAAAAAAAATAAAGATATAAATAAAAACTTAAGGCGCTAGGTAACCATCAGCCTTATAAGTATTCACTTCAACCAAGAGGCACTTACTCTTCAGTAATTCACCTCATTGCATCTAGTTCTAAAGTACACAAACAAAAGCTCATAAACCTCAATACTGTGGCATCTTATGTACTTGCAATAGAGCTCATTTTACAACATAAATGTATAGTCTGATGTGCTTTTGTACTTGGGTTCAAGTAATTCAATATCTGTTTGGAAACTCGTTCTGCTCATCCTAGGACATTGTTTGAGGAGGAAGCGTTTCCAGGAATATTGTAATACAGTCGACAGCATGTAGAGTGTACCTTTTTATTGGAAAATAGCTCTTATTCTAACTACACAAGATGTAGCAATATTTAGCTTTATAAGCTCTTGTCTGTACCATCCGCTTGTAGTAACGAGAAGTAAAGGTGGTTTTGGACTGGGGAGCATAAATTAGGCTTCTAAATGTGGTCAAAGTATACTTTATAATATGTTTAAAGTTTATTGATAACATAGAATTAGAAAATATGGCTAATTCAATTAAATTCAATTTTTTATTAGTAGCTGAGCTTACAACCACTTCGGAACAATATTATTATATTGGCTGGTGCTGAGAAGTAGCGGAAAAAACACAGTCACCTTAGGCCATTTTGATATCTGTTACTTTTTACATAAATACGAGAATAATAGTTTAGTAAAAAGTATTTTATTTACAAAAGGTTTAGGCCGCTTGTAGACGTCCTTTTTTTTCACCGGATAACGGACCGTGTTTTTCACCGGATTTAGCGGTGGTGTATGGTTTATAATGAACGTGTGCACATGCATCGGACATAGGTCCGGCGAACAATTTGTCCGGTGCATGTACACACATTCATTATAATTCATACACCACCGCGAATCCGGCAAAAAAGGTCCGTTATCCGGTGAAAAAAACGGACGTCTACAAGCGGCCTTACAGTCTGTTCTTCCAGCGGCTGCTGCACTAAGCTGTCCTTGTGTCGCGGCATCCATAAGTAATTTTGTATTATTACTATTGATATCCTTGCCCATTTCTAAAAATAAACTAAGTCGGGATATTATCACCATAAGAGCTATTTTTCCAAAAAATGTAGAGGCTGATATTCTATTGTTGTAATTCTTACATTTTCAGCTCATGCCTAGTGTGAATTTACCTTTACTCTCCAGTAACGAAGCTCCTACGCATTATGTTCCTAATTATTACCCAACAATACATGGAAGGCGTGGGTGCGTTTAATGTCATGGCAACAGAAAGAAATTTGTTACCAAAAGTATTTATTTTCGCCATAATTAATACATTCGTCAGCTCACATTTAATTGGGGATAAGACACATTTGGTAAGTTTTTTTAATATAACAGTTACAATTTCTTACAAAACTTGCGCGCAAAAAGCAAATCTAGTATGTAAATCATCAAACTTCTAACGCTCGTAACTCAGTTCAGACTGAGTTTAGAGGTATACATGTCATAGTAAGTTTGGGGTAGTATACTATTTTGTAATCAAAAAACAAAGTTTGGTCGATGGCCGCGCGAAAAAAAAAAGACGCCACCTTCCATACAAAATCTGGCATTGCCATTTGTATGCTATGGCACGTCGTAATATTATGACAATGCCACCCCTCCCGTGCCGCTCCCGTATCTTAAACTAATACTAGAATCGGTTGTGAATAATTATTTTCCACAGCGTTTACATACATTTACCTACTCCCTTTCAATAAACATTTTCTTTACCTCGTACCTCTCTTTTCTTGCCTAGACCGATGAGGATCCAAGTCTGAAAAAATACACACATTTTTCCCCACTGTACTAAACTTCTTTCTATTACAAACATGTCAAAACAGGCTCTGTTATCGAACTCGTCTATCAAACAATTTAGCGTGGAAAATTACAACGGATCAAACTTTACCGTGCGGAGTTTCCAAGCCCGTGTAAAGTATGTAATGAAAACTCGAAAGGTTTTAAAATATCATGTTACCATTAAGGCGATGCTTGGAAAATAAATATGTGTTCATTAAATTAATAAAGGTGAAAAGGATATCTCGTTAAGGGTTAAAATCCAGGACGAGGAAAATCCACAAGCGTAAAAATACAAAATTCTGTCGTATTACTGACATCAGGTGAAATAAATGGATGATCATTTTTCGGCAAACGTAGTCTTTCCATGTTTAGGTCTAACTATTTATATTGACAGACGATTTTAAGAACATGGAGCTGGCAGTGGCTAGAATGGCTTAATAGGAAATGATTACGCCCAGCAATGGACTGGTGAAGAAATACTTTCCTACCATACCTTCTTCTACCAGGTCGTTGCAACATATTGGTTATGGTCACCACAACCTTGGAGTCGGATACTTCTAGAGCCACATAGGCATTTGACATAGCACTTCTTATTTCAGACGGAGTTAAAAAGGCTGTGTGAGCACGCCTACAAATGCTTCCACGACACCATCATAGTATGCGGCAAGTCCGTCAACGAGGCGCGAACGTTCCTGGACCTCTGTGATATGTACGAATATGCCTGCGAATATACTATGGGTAAGCCTTAACGTAAATATAAAGATTGATCTAGTTTCTCAATATTCAAACATGACGTCCACTGTGGACAGAGCCCTCCCCAAGGATTTCCATAAATAACGACATGGCTGTCCGCGTCCATTCACTAGATCGTCGGTCCACCTAGTGTAGGACCACACGTCCACCCCACACGTCTTCTGGCTCGTGTTCGCCTCCAGAACTTTTCTGACTTAACGGCCAACAGCTCTACGAGGGAAGTATCCCGCCGACTACCACTTGATTTTAGCAATTCTGCGGACTATGTGGTCAATTTGGTTTTTTTGCTACTACTTTATCAATTAAAGCCGAAAGAAAACACATAATCTAAGAGAAGAGAAGTAAAAGAACAGGCTCAATAAACAAAACAATATTTATGCCCTGAAAAATCTTGATTTCGCTGTTAATGTGTTCTCTTAGCTTATTTAAAAATAAAAATAAAATAAACAGCCACTAGAACTGGCTTTGAGGATAATCTTGCGAAACAAAAATTTTCACCGACAAAAGAGAAAAATAAATCCCTCAGAAAGCCAGTTGAGGAAAATAAACACTTGTTTACAAAGAGAGTCGAGTCTTTTATTGCCAACAATATAAAAGATGGAAAAATAACACTAAAATTGTGGTCATATAATGCATTTAGTACCTAAGGTTCTACACTGGACCGTAATAAAATATGAAAAAGCTCAATGCGTAGCATCAGTCATTGCATAAATTTTCAGAAATAAATGTAAATCAGTATTATAAAAATCTGAAAAAAGTGTAACAAACTTTACAAAAGGCCCATAATACTGTTATTACGTTATTTCTGTGAAAATAGCAAAACTTCCACATTCCAAGATGGTCACTAATAAACGATATTTTCTGTCTGACACAGAAATGTATTTTCCTCGTATTGTAAAAATGACGACTCATCTCTCCTCAATGTCCAACAATAATTAAGAAAGTCCTACGACATTTCTTCTTTCTTGTAACAAGTTAGCTCATTATACCTACTAATGGCTGTCTAAAACTTCTTTCGAAACTATAGTATAGAATAGATAATAATACTTTGTGCTATATGTATATTGTTGACTGTTTGGTTTATATGCCGCTGAAAATTTGACCTAGGAGTAGGACAGGCAAAAAAAGCTTTAGATAAATAATACAGAATCACACTTTGTATTTGAGAGAGGTCATAAAATTAGCAATCAGCCACTACCAACCGACCGGCCAATCTGTAAATCATTGGCTAGGCCTGTATTCAGAAGTGAACGTCATGTGGCTGCAATGATGATGATGATTACGAATAACAAATCAGTGAGAGTTAACCTGAGTATTTTTCAGTTTTCAGACATGTGAAAGATGACGACGTCTGCCCCAATCCAAAGGAACTGGGCGTTGGAGTTGGAAGATAAATAATCATTAAGATGAATTAAGAGTATTTAATTTAATTATGAAATAAACTTATTAACTAAAATTGTACAGTCACTTTTTGTCTCATTGTGTTAAAATAATTTCCTAGAGTTCCTTCACTATAAATGTTTCTACTAGCCGTTATTTAGATATGGTTAGTAAATTTAATGTTATCGGTTCAATCATTAAAAAAATTGATCGCATGCATGTGAAAGAAGGAAATCTGAAAGAATAAAACAATAATCATTACATGACGCAAATAGATACACAATTATAAAGCGATTAAATCTAGCTTCAAAAGAAAACAGGTATATTTAAAGCCTTGATTACAAACTAGCAAAACGTACAAGAAGTAGTACTTACTGTATTTCCAGTAGCAGTTAACATCAAACATGTGGCAAATGTCCTTAAACCTTCCATAGCCGTAGCTACTATCGAAACCACAGACTTTGTCATTGTCACTGCGGCAAAGAAAGGCAGCTATACACCACTGATTGCCAGTTTCACCTCTGATAACGGGCGTATCCACTTTCCCGAACGAGCGACGACCGGAAAGCTGAAAAAGTAATAAGAATTGAGAAAGGAAACACAAATTTGGAAAAAAATGTTTATTGCTCTACAGAATCTTAAAAAGTTATTTAAGTACTATCTTATCTCCTAAAAATAATGAAAAGAAAAATCATTACAAAATATAATTCTGCCCAACTACGCCCAAACAATTTATCTTACAATCTCCAGTTAAAAGCTCGTGGCCAAGTGTAGCTAGAGTATTTTTATAATAATAATAATAAAAATGTTTTATTTGACAAAAAGGGCGACATCACATTAAAATTTACACAAATTACAAAAAGAAAAACATTGTACCCTGCTGTCAAATAGGGGCCCGCTCAGCATTAATAGGGGCACGCCGTGGGAATGCCTCGACACCGATTTTCAGCAGGTCCCTTGACGTTGCTGCGCCCAACCGTCGAAGGAGAAGCACTCCGTAAAGTGCCTGTCCGTCGGCGGGAACACGCAAATAGGAGGGCAGCAAAGGGGGAATACACGCAGTTATTAAGGGCAATAGTTGTCATTAACCTACTCAAATGTACTTTTTATTTTCTAGATTTACTTTTAATATTGCTTCTGTCCACTAAAGGCACCGGATCGGCCGATGCATCTCTGGCTAGCACTAGATCTTTTAGCAGCAATCCGTACTTAGGCAAATTTCTGGCAAGTCGGGTAAAAGGATTTTCTGCTACATTTTGTTTTTGTTCGTCATCATCAACAACATAACTACGTCTAGTGTTATGTACCTCCACTTTCTCTGGCATTTCTGGTTCTTCAACGGTTTTTAGGGCGCTAAGTTTTTCAACCAATTTTCTCGTTAGCTCCTCATTCTTCTGAACCATTGTTACTAGGTGCTCCAAAGCTTGACCATGGGCGACGAGTTTTTCTTCTATAAAGTCTTTATTATCTGACTCATTGTTTTTACGTCTAGACGGTTTAGCTTCACGCTTGTGTATTCTCTGTAAATAAATGGATGAGATTAATTTTAAAATACTAAGGTATCTTCATTTCCAACTATTTTTTAAAAGTTATACTCTTATCCTTACCACGTTATTTATTAAACGATTATCATTATCATTTTCTAAATATTCTGAAGATATTTCCATAGATGACTTTGTGATTACCAGCAGCAAGCCCACTAAAATTATACAAAATATTTTATATCATAAGTAGGTACGTCTTAGGGTAATTATGCAAAAAAAATGCAGTCTGATAGTGGCTGTATATCAAAAAACATTTTTCAGAAAAAATAACAAGAGATTTTATCCCTCTCACAAATTAAGTCATGCAAATACAAGAAAAATATTCACTCTAAAGTTGTCATAAGGTTGAAACTAATATTGTGACTTGTTTTCCGTAGCTTTTATGGTGTTAATGTTAAGGTCTGGATTGGAATGCTCACATATGGCTAGGAGACCCATGGTGTTCCGCTCGTGATCCGGGACGTGAGTGTGCGGGATGGATGCTTGAGCCACTTATAACGTCGGTAATTGACAGGCGCATGTTAGTAGTCTTGATCATTGCAAAAAAAAACATTTCGTTTTTGGATATTAAAAATGTAAAGATAGTTGTGTTACAATGTCTAACTTGATTTAGTAATAACGGTGGCAACCACTGCCGTAAATCAATGACATAGAAACTATTTAAATGCATATCTACTTTTAATGTATAACCACCACATACCTAACACATCTTGAAATTGGACGGTCCTTGGAATCGAATATTTCGCAAGAACCTTTGCTCTAGCTATCTCCTCTAGTTAGATAAAATCGATGTTAATATTGAATCATTTTATCTATCAACACAAGTACAGCTTTACAAGTACCTACCACCCCAGCAAACCACTACTGGCAAACTCAAAAGGATCCCAATTAAATCTTAAAATCACTTCTTCTTTGACAAAGGCAACAATATTAAAGCCATTTATTGAAGGGCTCGGCGACCATGTTGACTGAAGACATTGTGTCGAACGTTCCTCGTAAATTGAAATCTTTAGACGAAAATTACACCGCTAATCAATTTGGTAGCAAAATGTATAATTGACATTGTAATGTTTTTGTTTGTTTACTCAATGGTATCATTATTTTAAAATCGTATTTTAAGGGGTTGTGGTAGAGTCTTTTATGTCCTATTTAAAGTACACAATTTAGAAAGTGTGTAGTGGTTAAATATTCTAAAAACATACAACTTATTTTTTATTTGCAGAAGTATCAAACACACCAGTCGGCGTAGAACTTGAAAATATGATTTATAGTTAGTGAACACACTTTAATTGAATTATGGGACATGGCTTAATACTTCTGAACTAGATTGACAATCCGTATCGCATATTTTTACGGTGTTTACATGGAATCAAAAATCAATAATATTTAAGACTCAAAAATTTATTGTTTCCTTTATTAATCACACGGTGGCTACAGCATTCTTTCAATAATTTTATGAATGCATTTTTAATGAAAAACTTAACTAGGCTGTTTACAATATTCAAATTGCTACCGTGCCTCTATTCTTTAAATTATGACATGTAGGCCTCATGCTAGGTAAAAATTTGAATGCACCTTTATATTGTTTTAAACCTTGTGCACCTTTAATTTTTTTAAATATTTAGGAATTGTCAAAAAAATTAAATTGACTTTGACCATTCGGTAATTTGACCATAGTAGTTCGTTCGTTCGTTCGTTTCAGCCAAATGACGTCCACTGCTGGACAAAGGCCTCCTCCAAATACCATAGTAGTATCTAACAGTGTTAGATTCATACAGACGCGACGCAAATGTACTTTTACTTGTTCACAAAGAGACATAGATTAAAAAACTCTAAAAACTCATTAAAACTCATTTATTTCTGTAAATAGGCTTAAAAAAGCACTTTTACACGTCCCAGTATTAACCCTACCACTGCTTCAGGACAATAAATGGGCCAGTGCTGAGAAGAAGCAGCGCAAGAAACTCAGTCACTATTCCCTTGAGAGCTCGCCATATTCCTGGAGAAAAGGATTTTATTCCGGAAATAGCCAGCATAAAGGCTCAAAGGCAGTCTAAGTCACTCAGGCAGAAATAATCCGGTATAAAATCAGTCATAGCATTTTCAAATAGGAAAAGATACATAAAATGCAATTGAAAAAAATACAATCTCTAAAGAGTCCTATCGATGCTAAATAATGCCGTCTCATTTTGGTATTTCTTTTCTTTTATGTACACTGAGTGTTTGATATGGTTTTTATGTTGTTTTATGTTAAAAAAAATAACCAAGATAGGCCAACCGTTTTAACACTAACGCACCTGACAGGAAAGCTTTAAGTAGACGATATTATAATATTAAGATGATATTTATTTATTGTAATAATAAATGTACACTTTATTGCAAAGCACTGAAAGATGGAACGAAGCTGTTATGGAAAATAGGTAATAGAGTAAATTGTATGACTGACGAATGACTTGGCGAAGGTCGAGGTAAGCGCCTGGGTGTGAACAGCGCGGTGTTTGACCACCAACGAAGAATATGAAAAACGGTGATAAGTAAGTTAAGTATGTACGAGTATATCTTACGCAGAAGTATTTATTATATTTCAAAGAAACCTTCCGTATCTCTTCTTTAAAATACACACTGCTTAGGTACAGTATGCTCGTTAAATATGTATAACTTTATTTCGCTGTCGCAAGGAATCACATTTCAATCACTCCGTTCGGAAGCAATACAATTTCCATAACCATAAAATATCGGTTCGTTTCCAACATGTTTTCCTCGTAGTCAAATATTTGCCGTGAAAGTTTAGCATCGAACGAACAAACTTTGATTGGACGCAAATGTACTATGACGCAACATTATGTTAACTTTACTGGGTAAAGGATTTTCGAATTTTAATCAGTTTGTACAGTCAGCGGCACATCAAGATAAACACTGTGGCATCTTAATGTAGTGGTAACAAGAGCGATTTTGCAATAAAAATGGTCTGATGTGCTGCCGTTTGTACTTAGATTTGTGAATTGTAGGGAAACTTGTGAAATCCCATGGTCTCGCTCATTGTGGATTAAGAATGTGATCTGTTTTAAAATGCAGTGGAAGTTGCAAAACTTACACTTGAACATTTCAAACAAGTAACCAAAATAGTCATCGTAGCAGAGTAAACTGCCAGACGAAATGTTAAGACATTTCGTCTTAACATTTCGTCGATTTTCGATTCATGTCCCACCTTATGATATTTTTTTTTTTTTTTATTATTCCATTGAAAATACTGTATTCAAACACTATGCTTGAATTCAAGTACCGTATTTTACCGTATTCACAAACAAACGATGCTTGCTTAAGTGAACTCAGCAGCAAAAGATTTGCTGCTGAGTTCTCACAGCGGTGAATAGAGCTCTGTGATTGGTTCGTGTCCACGCGCACTGTGAGACCTCATAGTAATGTTTGTGAATACGGGCGTCAGTCAAGATGTCAGATGTTAGTTATGATCATCATTATCATCTAAAAAGGTTGTAGGAGTAAGTAGATGTTTCTATTATAAGGGAAGCTACATTACTCCTTGAAATTTTGTTTGAAATAGACGGAATTTACTAACTTGTCGCATTCGCATTCCATCCATTACAATTTCCAGAGAACTGAGACCAAGTTACGTAAAATGCAAATGTCCCTGTTCAGTATCTTCTACAATTAGAGTCAAATTATGTAGAATGGAGGAACAATTTGTTTATTTGACTTTTTCAGTTATCTACGCGTTCTTGGCGTCAGCGAATGGTCATAGTGAATCTATTCGAGTAAGTACTTCACCGTCGTCGCATTCGTTGATAATTTTAATGAGAATAAAGATCTTAAACCACATTTTATAGTAGAGAAAAATTGTAAAAGATTCCTACTTCGAAGTTTTATACATACTTATAAATGCCACATCTGATATTCTTTACATTTTTAAAGAGGTGAACGGTAACCAATAACATATCCATAACAATTAGATTGCTTTTTAGACGAAGATCGTATTTTGCGTGTGGTTCCCGTTTGACATTCTCTTCCCTATTATACCCATTAATACTTATACCTTCCTTCCTCATATTTGCAAGTAAAATTACCAGAATTCTTGGTTTTAGAAGAATCTCAGAACCTCACGAACGAAAGAGTGCAAGAAATTTACCAAAATAATCTCGGTGAAACAAATATAAATGTATGTCTTTTATAATTCATCTTAGAACGAAGAAGAGTGCAAGATCGCCGACCTGTGCGTGCACGACAAGGTCCCCATGTGCGGGATCGACTCCTGCGGCGAGATGCGCACCTTCATCGACACGTGCGACATGCACGAGTTCAATTGTGATAGCAAAAAAGGTTAACCATAAGGTTTTATACATGACGCTACCAACCAATGTGGAAATCATTGGGGGAGGTCTATGTTCAGCAGTGGACGTCCTGTGGCTGAAATGATGATGATGATGATAAACGTGACCTTAGCTCTTTTTACGTCAGCTAATGAATGAAATTGTGAACCCATTAACCGCGGGATAGGGGCTCGAAATGAGTTATTTGGAGCTTGATTTCAATTTCTAGACAAAGACAAAATAAAACAACATGAAAACTAAATATTGATCACTGATCACATAAGCGCTTAGTGCATCCTACTGGGGATAAGTTGAACCTTAGCTTTTAGTGGGACTATTCCCACCTCTCGTTCCCACCGCTGCAACTCCTGGACTTGACTGGTTTGGATTCAATCGAAGGTCAAGCTGAATAGGAGTTGTAGCTTCTAACGAGAGGCAAAAACAGTCAGTAATACTCGTAAGTAAAGGCTTTAAAGAGATGCTTTCAAGGCAATAACCTAATGAGCTTCATGAACTTGTCCTTCAGAGATGTTCAGACCACATAACATAGACAAAAAATAGTTTAATATCTCCTATAAATCTTGATTGCTTTTATTACAGACTTCAAGCAACGCCCGATCCACGAATGCTGGGTCACCTGCAAAAGAGGCCGATCGTTCAAGAAGCCGGAGTATAGAACTGACTGCAACATCAACCTGAAAACTAGCAATAGATTGTAGCCTGCATTATGTTTTTATTTTATTCCTGTAAAAATCTTCCTCTACGAACGTAGACATTACCCAGTAGACCAATCGTTAATAGTGTTTAGTTTGGAACTAGAGGAACTGCGTTTTAAGGATGAAATAAGTCGGCTTACTGAAATTCTCTTTGTGGCGTTTAGGACAAGTAATACCTTGATAGTATTGATTAGAATCCCTTAAAGAATAAATACAATCTTTAAATATTTTTCCTAAAATAGAAATGTCCGCTAAGTTCGTTTCAACAATGTCGACGAAAATAAAGTTTCAAACAGTGTAGAAAAGACCGTCTGGTTAAAGGCACATAAATGCTATTGTACCTGAAAATAGCACAAAGGAAAAATCAAATTGTTTCTAAAATTAGTCTCATTGTAATTTATAAACCAAATAAGAAATATTTTCTATAAAGATCTTAATAAAAGAGACGTAAATCAATTTGAATAACGGCAACAAAATAGAGTAACATATCAATTTAGAGCAATTGTTAACAGATATGATACAAATTCAACCTATAACTCAAGACAATAAGGACTAAAATGGTATTCCAACTCTATCGAAATACCTATCGGATTTATTTCGACGTCACTCGAAATTTTATTATTTACACAAATGGAAGCCCAGTCGAATGTGCGCCCGGTGCTCGAATATTCAATATCAACACAGTTTTGTGCATGTACTGTTAAATACTGGTAGATAGCTTTCAACAATGTTTGGACAAATATTTTTATATACTCTTGTGTTTTTATGGACCGTAAAAGGCGTATACGCACACGTGGATAGTGCAAAGGTAAACAGATAAGTACAGGAATGGACCTTCATTTGAATTTTTCAGAAAAATTCTAGAAATTATAATTTATAACTTTGGGGAGCTTTTTAAGCCGGTTTGATTAAGTCCTGTAGCCTCAGTACAAGCCTTACGTAGGTACCTGGAGAGCATTCCAGTGATTTTAGACAATAAATTTAATGATATGACAGGGGGCTGCAATTGGCATAGGCATCGGTCTTGGAATTTTAAAGGACTCTAGTTCCATCTCTGTTGACCATTAACTCACCTTCTTAGCTTTCTCCCATTCGGTTGACTATTTATCTGGTGAAGATATCGGAAGGGACGAGCGATCAGGTTCGATTGTTTGTGGAAATCCTGTGGGGAGGTTTTCGTGCCTGAGCTGAAACACCCGTTATCCTTGCAAAATAATAATAAATTAATGATTTTCTGGACTTCAGTTGACTGAAGAGTGCAAGATAGCCGACATCTGCCGCCACGACCAGGTCCCGGTGTGCGGCATCGACTCCTGCGGCGAGATGCGCACCTTCATCGACACCTGCGACATGCACGAGTTCAACTGCGACAGTAAAAAAGGTAATAACAGAATTTCTTCAAAATCTTGAATTGTTTTCGTGGAGCATTGAGGATATGGCCTGAGATATCTGAAAGAACTTAGAACCGAGCTGAAAGTGGACCCTCCATCTAAAGACGTTAATTTTGAGTTCTTTTATTTGTCAGTTTTGTGTGGTCTAGATACTATAAAGAGTACTCATATCTTTTTCTGTATCTCTACGTGGTTACAGTCAGTGTCAAATAGTTCATGTCAAAGTGGTCAAAAAGTTGACAACAACCTTATTCCAATTGTAACAAAGACGTGTTGCGAACTTTTTGGCTACTCGTAAACATTTTCATTTTCGTGGGATTCAATTTCATTTTCATATTATTTAACAAGATTAATTTTGAATATATTTTTATTAACTTCAATTGGATAAATATAAAACACACCGATTTTCTTCATGACTATGTAATCTCGTACTGACGCGTAACCCCTTTGCTAGCTGTTGACTCAGACGTATCGCTTACCGAGCCCTCTTCAAAGCTCCTCATGCTGCCAGTCTACCTAGACCCCCCACAGGATCTAGTTACAATACAATAACATACAGGCCCTAGCTGAGTCAGAGCTCTCGGTAGGCTGGTCCCGCCTACACCGGCGCCACACGAGTAGACGATACACGGGGTGGATACAAATGGATAGAAAGTGAAAATGTACTTTCAGGCTATTCTTTTTTGATGAAAATCAATTTTGAGGGATTTTTACAGTAATTTTAAATTGATGAAAATTCATTTAAAACGTCTCGCTTTACATCAATCTACAGGGTAGGTACGTGTATACGATTAAATTATCAATAAGTAAAATAAGTAATTTGAAAAATCTAACATCAGTAAGTCAAATAATTTTATAAATCACAGCTGAGATTTGGATCTTAGTACTTTCAATAAAAAAAAAAACAATTAACGCTGCATTGCATTTTACATCATAATAATAAATGAGTGCTTGGTAGGTACTAAATTAAACCCCTTAAAGTATGAACGCTTGCAACACATCTGGACGTATATTGACGTCATTGAAAATTAATATTTCAGCATATAAGCCAACCTGCCGCTTACATCCTGTATTCAGAGTGAATAAGCTCTATTACTGAATGTTATTGGAAATCCTAGAATTCTTGGAATGTTTTCACTATCCCCTTTTGATGTTAAACGTGTATTGTTTACTGGAATTCGGGATTGAGCAAAAATAATAAGACACAATGAAAAATGTTGACGTTTGATTGAAGATTTATTCCCGCGAAACAAAATTGTAATTGTTTCGTGGATAAAGATTTTTTATCGGAAGATTTCATCCAATTTGTTACGAAAAATATGTTTTTTTTTTCTTTTCGTTGAACCTTTATTATCATTCGTTCGTTTTAGCCGAATGACGTCCACTGCTGGACAAAGGCCTGGATTTTAGTTCTTGTAAGTAGCCGCTAGGGACGCTGTGTAATTTGTCATACATTTAATGTCATGTTTTTAAACGCAGCCACTAGCGAGCACACCTAACTTAAAATTATGGATCAAGGATAACTCCTCAGTTAAAACGATACAGAATACAACAGCTTTGTTTCTATATTTCAGATTTCGTCCAGAAACCATCGCACGAATGTTGGGTGACATGCAAGAGAGGCAGAAGCTTCAAAAAGCCAGAGTTTGGTGCTGACTGTGACAAACAAAACTTAGTGTAAATTATGTTTTGTAGTGATCGTCATCTAGAGTCTAGATTCTAGACTAAGAATAAGGTATAAGAATCCTGTCACCTGATGGAAGTGTAACTTTACTATTTTTAACTTCATTTTATTATGACTGTTTGAATGATTATATTGTATAACGTTATTTTTACGTTAAAACGAACGTAAAAAGAAAAGCTTTCCAAAACAAAAACATTCGGTAGCATTTTTCAAAAACAATGAACAATCAGAGGGAATGTGAATTAAACCAAAATTATCAAAACATTTTGTTTTATTATTTACAACAATTGAGCAATAACTTACAGATTCGCACTTATTGCTCGAGATCACAGTATCATCTTAATTCTAAAACATTAAATAAATTCCTTAATAGTTTAAACCGGTTTAACTATAACCTCAAAATGCCTAAGCATATTTATAATTTATTAATTTATTTCTTATTTACATAGATGCATGCATATTTATAACTTAATTGACCGACAATCGTATTCAAAAATACGTATAATAATTAAATTACTATGAATACCTTATGACTACAGGTAAATACAACTTACAAGGTAAACCAGGTGACGTAATGTACATTATTGAAGTTATTTACAAAAAATCTAATTAAAATAATCGTTCTTGAGATATTATTGTAATATACTATTATTGAAGCATGTACACCAATTAAAATTATTATATGTATTAAGTTCTAGTCTAGACAAGATATAATTAAAACAATTAAGTAGTAATTAGGATAGAGCTTTCTTTAATGAAGCAAGTTCTATTGACAAAAAGGAAAGCTTAAATAATTTCTATAATAAACTTATTCTAAGGTTTGCTATTAGACAAAACATTTATTTTTCTACTTGAGTGAACACAGGTAATGCTATGATGAGAAAACAATATAATACAATAACACACATACACACAAACATCAAAATAAAAAAAATAGGATGACTTACTCAACGACCTTCAATCAAGAATCGTGTATAAGTCTTTATAACAAACTTTAAAATATATAGTATATTGGGCTACTATCTAAGGCCATTTCCTTATTTTCAGATACGTCTGTCATTGTTGCTTGTACCGGCATCTTACCATGAGTAAGAGAGACAGTTAATACTAGAAATGCGGTAACGGCGCTTTAAAGTAGAAATCATCTTCCCTTCGAAGTCAGCAGGATTGTTAATAAATTAAAATCATCAGAAAAAATGCGTCGATTTTACCAAAAAAAACATTATTCCTAGGAATTGTTCGATATCACTCTTAAACTAAAACTTTCACACACTTCAACTATTTTGTCGAGTCCTTTTTCTTCATGTCATGGTGTCTCTCTAAAAAATAAGTTTGACTTTGAATGTACTTCAGTGAGCACAGACGTAATTCTTCTATCATTCCACCCGACAAAGCTAAATTGTGATCATGTTCCAACCTTCTAATGCTGGTCCAAGAACCCAGCATTCTTCACAATATTGTAAATCTTCTCCCGCGGGATCTTTTCAGCCTCTCTCTCCACCACCTGCATTTCCTTATTCGTGAACCAGGACTCTTTGGCCAGACCTGCAGCTATCGCAGGGTTGTCATAGAAGTCATGGGACTTCAGCAGTTCCCTTGGTAGTAAGGCTTCGCTTGCCGCGTTGAGTTCCACAGCAGGGTGTGGGTGGACTACTGGTGCTGATGGGTGGGCATACTCAACCCCTATGGGATGTAGGGGTTGGGCGAAGAGAAGACCTGGCCTCGCGTGGGCTATCGCGAAAATAGCGGTGGCGACGAGCAGACGCAACATTTTGAGTTCTGAAATAGAAATAGTTCTGCTATTATCTTCAACTTTTAAACGCGATGAAAAGATAAGGGTGGTATCTAAATATAACCTCTGCAAACGACCGGACAAAATTGTTTTTGTTATGAGCCTTAAAGATAGTCGTCTAGACTGAATGGGGTATTTTTAGCATCAACGATGTATTTTAAAATCTCTTTCAGTTCTGCAACCGAGATAATAATTAAAGTTGTTCCCGACTCTACATTCTTATTAAGAAATTTGTGTTTCCCAAAGTTTCATATTGGGGAATAGATTTTACCAATTTATCAATCTGCTTTATTAATTTATTTATCAATTGAAAAAAATATAATTGACTGCTTGGGCGGTTTGTGTGACGGAAAATTGCGTTCTGCGGTTGAGAATTCGAAACCTGTACAGGAAAAATATTATGGTAAGTATTTAGATTTTTTGTTTCTGTTTACTTTATTAACTTAGAAGTAAACGAAATACGAGTATGAGCAATATGAATTGATATGTCAAACGTTTTAAATATCATAGTGATATTTAATATCCTCAGTACAAGTTAAAGAGGCAGTTTGAGTCTAGGCTGACCTTTAGTTAGTTCCTGATGCCAGTCAAACCTGTTTTCAAGTTGTTTATTTTGATTTTTATACCGCATCGTAAATGCTTTCAAAAGTATACACAACAAAGAACATCTTTTTCAAGACGCAAAAGTAGTATCTTAGTCGCCTTTAATTTGATTGTATACTACCTTAGTGTAAAGTAGTACGGTAGTACAATCAACGATACAAAGTTTGAAAATTGCACATACTAAGGACATACGAGTATTTTAAGTTTATCTGTGCTTTACCAACTCTATACAATATTTTTACTTCTCTATCTTATTGGACAGTTTCTAATGTAAAGAAGTAACTGGTTTTAGAGACGTATCTCTATAACAAATTCAAAATCAAAAATCAAAATTTAATGTATGTAGTGTGTAAAAGAAAAAAAATTAAACATTTTTTTTAATTCCAATTGAGATTTCGCTATATTTTATGTACCTACTAGATTTCAGATCTTTCGAAAACATATTGACACATTTTTGCTTAAAGGATAAATAGAGTCTCTGTCAACATAATTACATTACAATACAGTAAAGACTTGTTTGTACAAACTAATGATTTGCTCAGAACAAAAGAATACAATTGTGTGTGCACAGCTAAAGTTGGCAAGTGTTTTGTTATATTTTAATTACACAGCACAAAATGTGTTGAATTTTTAAGTTAAACTTTAATGACACAGAGTTGGAAATAGACACTAAATTATTTTTCGTAGTCAAGCCCAGAAAAGTTTGTTTTCCCAGTTGACCCAAATAAACTATCTTATGAGTCTTTTGACTAATGCAATATACCAGCACTCTCTCGAGTCTCAACCGAGAGGTCCTAGATTCGATTCTAACATATATTTGAAAAATAAAGCTATTTTCTTGTCACTTTTCGTAGGAAAATTTTCAAAATTCTCTACATTTTAAGTTTCCCGGGGTAAAAAATAATATAACAATATAAACATACCCATAATACTAGGTCAAGATAATATTTACAGACAAGAGCCATTTAACCTATTTAAATCTGCCAAACTTTGATGAACATTCAATCTTACACTTCAGACATAGAGTTCACCATTTGTAGCGAAAATCCAACAATTTGTGGTTGTTTGAGTAATAAAATTTGTCAAGAGACAAATAATTGCAAGTATTCCAACGCAAACCTTCAATACTTTATTGACACTGCCTTACGAAACATCACAAAATCTTAACTACGCAGTTCAAAGACTATTGAGACCAAAAGGCCGTTCTTTAATGATCCATTAAGTTTATTTTCTCAATGAACATTAAATTTAAACAATGCTTAGACAATATCTTGGGAGATTTTAAGACATGAGAACTCTATTTATTTCTACAAGCAGTTATATAACTATTTCGTTGTGTTGTATTTTTGTTTTATATGAAGAATTAACAATAGATTTCAACTTATTCTCCGATGTTTCACAAATAGGTAGAGCTTTAGGAAATCTTCAAAGAATATTTTAGCTATCTCACCCAAAAATTGTAAATACCTAGATATTAATGAAACTACATAAATACATTGTAATTACTAAAAAGTCCCACAATAGTTTATCTAAACACTTTTTCTATTCAAACGCCATAAACAGTAGTACTCAACAAATAAAAACTAAAATCCACAAATTATAAAAACAGAGGGTTTCGATCGATAACTAATTTTAACGTCCCGTTTCCACTAATATGCCCACAGATTCACAACACTTTTTATAACTCATACACTGGCATAATAAAAAAACACGCGCGATCTAAAAACAAAACACAATTCCAAATTCAAAAACCGAACGTTCCATTACACGCATTTGCACTTACTTTTAAAGTCACGGTCAATGTGTCAACCGCGCAGACGCGAAGGGGCAATGCGCGCGCGCACAGTTCCAAGCTAATATATAGCCTCTAGTAACCTTCTACAGCTTCCGGGACTGAGCTGGGAATTCTCTTGATTTTTTGCAACGAAAAAGGGCGGGACTGAGTCGTAAAATCGCGGATGTAGTCGCGCAAATTGGAGCGACGACATTACGACGATTTATAACGAGTTCATGGTCAAAATTCGATAATATCATCGTATTTCAATTAATTTTTGTGAAACCTATGATTTGCCTATACTTGCCTTATTAGGATCTCTGATCCATTAATTATGATCATCATCAACATTTCAGCCATAAAATGGTCCACTGCTGGACATGATACCAACGCCTCCTATTATTCATACCAAATCTTCATCATCATTTCAGCCATAGAACGTCCACTGCTGAACATAGGCCTCCCCCAATGCTTTCCATGTTCATACCAAATACCTATGTAATAATGAATTCATACTCACTGTGTTCATATAATGTGTGTTACGATTTCATACATTAACTGCTGAACTTTGATTTTTGGTACCTTGATGTAACCTTTTAAATTATCTATTTGAACGGGAAACCTTCTTTCCTTTTCTTAGCTGGAAACGCTGGAATCTTTCCAATGTCACCAAAATCTATGCACATGAAGTATGAAGCCACAGTATAAGTTGCTTGTCTAAAATACAATCTTCCATTTCACAAAGATTCGTAGACTACCCTAGACTATGTAGATTGTAGGTATAATATAACTAAATACCAATTTGATGCTTACCTACTCAATGATTAATTGAAAGATCAATCACAGTCGTTCAAAAGTTCAAATAGTGGTTTGCCTTGCTAACTCGGATACGATACTAGTGCTTCCGGTTTGCCGGTGTTTATATTTTTGTGTCCGAAATTACCTTTTCGACAAGACCAAAATCTGTATATGTATAAAAATATATTAATGATAATGTATAAAAAATATTTAAGTACCTAGTCGAAGTTTCTTAATTACCATGACCAAAATAAATGTAATGACTTTATCAATTCTGAGCAATATCGTTTAGGTAACTTCAAAAAGCCCAAAGTTGGTAAGTATTGCAAACTAATAGGATGCTCTACGAAAATCTATGTCCCTACGGACATCACTATTAATAATGCGCGTAAACTTATCTTTCTGTTATAGAAGCGTTGGTATAATATAGATAAGCTACTTATAATAAAATTAAAGGCACACGCAATAATGTACATCGATCTCCACAGTGAGAAGTCTATAGAGAGGCATTTGGATGGTTCGTTCGTTCATTCGTTTCAGCCGAAAGACGTCCACTGCTGGACAAAGGCCTCCCCCAAGGATTTCCACGAAGACCGATCCTGCGCCGCTCGCATCCATACCATTTGGATGGTATAGCACTTGTAATGATAAATCATCATTATCGTCCACTGCTGAACCAAGATATTCCCAAAAGATTTCCAGATTGGCTGATTGGAAGTGGCCTGTATCCTGCACCACGCAACCACCTTTATCTGTCGGTACGTGATACACCCATAGACATAAGCAGACATAAGTAAAAAAAAAAAGTAAAAAAGTAGTTATTACTAAAAGATGTCACATTGTACAAATTATTCTGGCGGTCTCTGCACTAAGCAGGAAAGCTTGCATCGCAGCGGCCAATACGAACAATTACCTTAAAAATAATGACATCGGTCTTAATAGGACGGACATGTTTAAACTAGTTAACTAGTTAGGCTTAACATTTATAAAGTGTTAAAATATAGTTTATATATAAAACTGTTCTAAACAAATATTAATGGTTTAGAAAAACTAATAACAATAACATAAAAATTGTATTATTTAAAATATAGCTTCTGTAACCTTTACTACCAATTGTCCATCTATCTGTCAATTAGGTCAATTAAGCTATCGCTTTGCACCCACTACAATACTCGTACGTGGTGCAGAATAGATTGAACACATCAATCAGGCTTAATGTTACACCAGTCGATCGCCTTGCTTGCCCAGACACTCGTACTTCCGCTACGTGACGTCTGTTTCCACGTTAAAGGTGCAAGTTAATAAATGTGAGTGTAAGTCTACACACCAAATCCGACGACTCACCGACGTGAGTCGTCGACTTTTAACATGTTGTCAAAAGTCATAGAAAGTATAAGTCGTCGACATGTTTCTTTTGAAATAAAGCCGCCGACACCAAGCCAGCAGTGTAGAGAATCCTTAAATATATGAATGTAGGTACTCGTACCTACATAATAGTCATAGGCATAATGTTTATTCAGGGGAATTCACTTCGAGAGAGAGTTCTTGTGAATTTCAAAAGTTAAATGACTCATTTTCCTCTTCAAAGAGAAATTGCAGAAATACAAAAACACGTGACTTTTCTATTTATAAGTCAAAACTCTATTTAGGGCAGTTTAACCCTCTCAATAATAAAAAGTTCAGCAATTCAGTCAATTTTTGTTGCAAAACCGCACCAATACCTCCGTCATAAGGTGCCATAATATGTTTACCTTGATGTACCGTCGAACGTCATCTCACGTGATATGCAAACCGATCGTCTCAGGAATGTTAGTAATTGCTCGGCTGTTGCAAGATCTATGGCTTCTTCACGTACACGAGGCATTGATGCAACGAATAATTGCCAAGTAAATAAGAAAATGACAAATCATGTCGCTGCTCGCTAAGGTGCGTATTATCAAACAACGCTCTAACTTAGATTGCATTTAACTTTGACAAACGTCAAAAATCTGTCAAACTCCATACAAAAAACACCGGTTATCGTTATAGCTACGTCAAAGTTAGATGGTGCAACTCAGCCTTAGTCATGGACTCTGTCTTGTGATTGATATTACAAATATTGAAATTCGCCTTTATTTTCTTATAATTTTAAGTATCAGTTATCTCATCGTAAGATAAGAAAGACAATTATTAGTTAAGTTTTATTATTTAGTACTCGATTTCCTAAAAATATCTGTTTTAGGGCTGATTTTTCAATCATGAGTTAAACTGAAGAATAAACTTGTCATTTTGACTTATTTCCCATACTGAAACTGTCAGTATGAATATGCCAAACTTATTCTTCGGATAATAGTTATCCAACGATTGAAAAATCAGCCCATAAAGTATGTCAGTTTTGTCAATAAAAAAACAATCAGAAGCATCAATCTTTGCTTGAGATAGAATCGAGTTTTGAGATCTACTATAATAAAATAGGCACCTGCCCATCTCAGCTTCATAACTCAAATGTTCAGACATTTCTAGTCAGTAAGAGTAAGAGCGTGACCTTTGGCTTTTAGATTTATTAGGTACTTATGGATTAGATCAAGTAAAATAAGCTCAACTATTTCCAAGAAATACTTAAATGGATTAATAAAGTTTATCTGTAAAGGTTTTCCCTTTAGGTAACATTCAGAAAACTTCGTAGAGAATTGCTCTACGTGCCTTTTCATATAATCTTAACTTGATAATTCGATTGAGTTTTTTCCTACTTACACAATAAGAAAAAATTAAGACTGAGTTGCCCCACCTAACTTTAACGATAACCGGTGTTTTTTGTATGGAGTTTGATAGATTTTGATTTGTTAAAGTTTAAGTAAGATGGTGTAACCCAGCCTAAGTAATCTACTCTTGCGAATGTAAAACGTGACATACAAAACAAAAGATGTACGTAATTGCGACATAATCAACAAAAAATCGACCGATATTTGTATTCATGGGATGCGCAAGACATGCTATGAATACTGTTTTTGTATTACCTTCATTTGTAAGGATCCTGTTCTACTTGATCCAGATGTATGACATTTACTCTCCTTAAGATTATATCAGTCATTAGAGAATTGGACTATCACGACTTGGCGGTTCGATTCCTTGAAGGAACATAAAAAGGGTAAAACTACTTTGAATTTCCTATCTGGTTAGAATATTACATTGTTCAAAGTCTTGCAAATGCATTCATCATCATCATCATCTCAGCCATAGGACGTCCACTGCTGAACATAGGCCTCCCCAATGCTTTCCATGTTTCCCGGTTGGTAGCGGCCTGCGTCCAGGGCTTTCCTGCTACCTTTATGATGTCGTCTGTCCACCTTTATTAAATTTTTCCCCCAATTGAGCTTTTGATAAGACAAAATATTCTGCCTGTCTCTTTACTGGGCTTTTCGGATTAACGTGAAAAAAAAAACTTTTTGATATTACACGACTTAAGTATGCATTCATAGAACAGCCATTGATCAACAGAACGAACGATTTTATAAGTAAAACATACCTAGGAAGGAAGTATTAAGTAACATAAATTGGTATAATAAAATCATAGAGAGTTCACACAATCATATTTTCTTTACGATGCCTACAGTCGTATCGGGCATAGTTTACGAGCCATTATCCGATACATTAATCCATTAGGTACCTTTATTAAAACCTTTGTTCTCAGAAGAATGGTAAGTACCGTAAGTAGAGCCAACAGCACATCAACTTGCTGGAAAATAAGGAATTTACCAAAAGGTTTCGAACTTATGCTGGGTTGACCATCTTACTTTAACTTTGACAAACGTCAAAAATCTGTCAAACTCCATACAAAAATCACCGGTTATCGTTATTGTTACGGTCAAAGTTAGGTGGTGCAAATCAGCCTTAAAGTATTATTTAATATCGATTAAATAGGATTTCAAAGTCTCATTAGTGCTTAAAATAAGGTTAAGTAAACAAATAAATGTATGAACTGCGAACGTGATCTCACACACGAACTCATAGTAAATATGCTTATCATTCATCAAAGTTTACGAAGAAGGCCGAGGGCGAACTCTTGCCTCAATGGTTGACAACTATTTTAGGAAAATAAATATTAATTCTTACGAAAATGTCCATTTTATTACGTAAAAATTTTACTTCTCCCTACTGAGGTCTTCAAATGTTTTAGAAATAAATATTTTACTTTTTTAATGTTTCATTTAAAAGGGAGACTTGAGTTAACTATCTCCACCAATAAAATTTAATGTACGAGCATGTATTCTAAGTTACACATTTAGAAACGAATAGTAAAGGATTCCCTTTCGTTCGTCTCAGCCAAATGACGTCCACTGTTGGACAAAGGCCTCCCCCAAGGTTTTCCACAATGAACGGTCCTGCGCTGCCCGCATCCAGGATTCCCTTTACTACTATTCGTTTAATATAAAACTTACTGGTAATGAATATTAACATAATGAAGATGAAATGCCAATTTCATAGGTAAAGACCTGTTTTACATAGTAGAAGTACTTACAATCTATACAATAACAGTTTAGCTCCTAATAAAGCTATGTACTTGCTAATAACTACGAGACTCCATACCCCATAAGGCTCTACTAATCTCAATAAGCTCTACCGCCCAGAACTCAAGGTCCTATATTGCTTGACGTATACAAATTGATTTAGAACTACCTTCTCATGGTCAAGTTCAGTATAAACAAGGTTGCTCAACTGACCCTAAGAAGAGGATTATTTTCTACTCGAACAAACAACGCACTCGTGATTGTTAATACAACTCGGTAAGGTTCACTTTCCCCTGACCAGTTTATTTACGCATTACTTAGCAATAAATTTATGGACTAGTTTTTCAATGCGGATATACTCGCATGGAAATCGTAAGGAAAAATCAATTTTCCCAAAATGACTATACAGGGTGTTAGGTAAATGGGTATATGAGCCGACACTAGCCCATGTTAACATGGTCATATAAATGGTATGGTAAAGTCAGAAAATTGATATCTTCATTTTAATTATTTTATTTTTCATACAAATCGGATTTTATAAAAATATTTTGTATGAAAATTTAAAAATTTAAAATGATGATATCAAATTTCTGACTTCACCATACCATTTATATGCCCATGTTAACATGGGCTAGTGTCGGCTCATATACCCATTTACCTAACACCCTGTATAAATTACAGACTTTTTAATAAACGTATTTTTGTCACAACCACTCTTATTATACGCTCTCGACGTAGGGCTTTACTACGAAAGGTTAACCGTAACCGATAAACACACTTACTTAAACAGTTGTATATGTTTAGGTATACTTACTGTAAATGTTCTAATCGTTAGGTATATAGGACCTAATTATACCTACTATGTGCTCCCATTGGGATTTTATCCCGCAACCACGTGTAATTTATAAAGCTGTTTTAGACGGGTAGGTGAAATTTCTTGGCTCTTAATAATTTAGTAGCTAGGCTGTTGAAAAACTACACATTGAAAGTTCTATCTTCCTAGCCTATTTTAAAACAAATAAGTAAATCAAACATAATCTCCAACTTCCACTAAGGTATTACTTCTGCCTACCGGTTAGGGACTAACGCCCGTATTTACAAACGATGCTTGCTTAAGTGAAGCAGCAACTCGAACGCACAGCGTTGAATAGTACTCTTGAATAGAGTTCGTGTGTCACCCTGTGCGTCCACGCGCACTGTGAGACCTCATAGTAATGTTTGTGAATACGGGCGTCAAACTGTGAATCAAGTAACCTAAGTAGGTACACACTGGATAAAATTGGAAATGAAGAAAAACCAACAAAAAATATTTACACAACTAAACATACAAATCGTGGAAAGTTCTAGATGTAAGGGCTACAAGATACTTCAATAATATTATTATTATTATGACCTACTTTCATCGTGGAGAGCTTATTGCATAAAGCTCTAAAATTACTAAAGATAGCTGCTTTCCTTTAAATTAGTTTTCCGAGTCTTCTTTACTAAAGAAAAGCTTTTAGCCTAGGACGCTTTTATTGAACAAAGCTTATTAACTTTTCTATCTAATCAAGATCTTAAATCTCTGGTGTTAAGTTTATTAGCTGCTCAAATATTATTTGGTTTCTAAAGGTTAAAGTAATAATAACGGTATAGATAGATGTAAATATTGTAAAGTGTTGAAGATATTTTGATAATGTTGACTGAGTTTCTTGCCTTGATTTTACTCAGTATGTACTGGTACTGGGACACATTATTGTCCCGAAATAATGGTAAAGTTTATGCAATCATATGTTTGGTACTTATAATATTTCTTTCTAGCCTACTCACAGAAAATAAATTAGTTTAGGAAAAAGCCCTAAGGTAACATCTCCATGTATTTAAGGCAAAGACATTGACACAAACCAAGCGTAATTGCAGTCATGCATTGTTAAGAAAACATGTCACAACCTGCGTCGACGCAATGTGTACAAGGAAAATTGTGATGCTCTACATTTAACGAAATCAGTTCAAAATTACGTACTCCGACATGGTATTTTACTTGAACACTACCTCAAATGGATCACAAAGCACATTTAGCTTATTATGTTATTAATCTTTAATGTCATGAGAATAGCCCAAGACTTGTTACAAGTTATGCCTCACCCCTGATTTCATACTAACAAGCCTTGTGACCTATTGTTTCACCTCTATTATACCTGCATTCCTTACAACTCAATTCAGTAATCCGAGTTTAAATGCACAATTACAAATCTCGAGGTTCTTAACCTTGTCATTTAAACAATTCTTTAAGTAAATATTCACTTGGTGTTATCTCCTATCAAAATTAAATATTAAGTACCTTGACATCTTAAGCACTAAAGTTACAAGATCATTGTCTGAGATCTCACGTTTTAAACCTCTAAAATGGTGATGAATTGCTCTATTAAAATTGCATATTACAAGTACTCATTATACTCGTAATTTACATTTAAAATGAGATGAAGCTATTCGTTAGATAACAATTAGTGTCATAGATAGAAGATAAAGTCCAAAAGATCAGTATGCTGGTCAAATCGGACATAGAGATATCTTGGCCTTCACTAGTTGGTTTTATTAATTGTCGAGCTGTGGATCCTTAGTTCTGATTACATAAAAGTTGCAGCAGTGAAAAGAAAGAAGCTTTCATGCTTTCAATCCATTCTGTTTAATAAGGCAATTAAAAATCATCATTTTTCAATAACACATTTATTTACTGACTTTCGCTTCGTCTCTCAATATGGTTACCGAATAGAAATGCTGCATTTTCTCTGTTCCTGACATACAGTCCCAGGTTTTTCGGCCAATGGGTGGTATACTTCATCATCCTAGCCCGTCTTCCGAAGCGTTCTTTTAATATTTGGAAGAAGTCCCGTGTCTCTCCTTCCACTGTCGTTTCCCAAGTTACTGGTCGATCACAATCCTTAGGGTAGTCATTACAAATGCTCATTGTAGCTGTTGTTGCATTTGGAGTAGTTGTTTCTGTGATGTTAGGGCTAGTTGTTACCGTAGTATCAGTAGTAGTTGGACTTTCTGTAGTAGTAGTAGTAGTTGGACTTTCTCTAGTAGTAGTTGTTGTTGTTGTTGTAGTGGTACTTTCTGTAGTAGTAGTTGTAGGTTCTGTAGTAGTGGTAGGAGTAGTAGGTTCTGTAGTGGAAGTAGTAGTTTTCGTTGTAGTAGTTTCATTGTTGCATCCAGTCTGTACTATTTCTGGTGGTCTTGTGCAGTCAGTGAATGATGCTTTAGTTAAAGGCTCAGTTGATGGTGAAGTAGTTACTACAGTTGTTTCAGTCGTTGATTCAATTGTTGTAGATTCAGGTGTAGTTGACTCAGTTGTAGTTAACTCTGTAGTGGGTGGCTGGGTTGTAGTTGACTTGGTTGTAGTTGACTCAGTTGTGCTTGACTCAGTTGTCGTTGACTCAGTTGTCGTTAACTCGGTTGTAGTTGATTCTGTAGTGGTTGACTCAGTTGTGGTTGACTCAGTTGTCGTTGGCTCGGTTGTAGTTGATTCTATAGTAGTTGGCTGCGTTGTAGTCGACTCAGTTGTAGTTGTTGTTGTAGTCGACTCTGTAGTAGTTGACTCTTTTGTAGTTGATTCAGTTGTACTGGGCGTAGTTGTAGTCAACTCGGTTGGTGTTGCTTCAGTTGATGGTGACTCAGTTGTAGTAGAATCAGTCATCGGTGTTTCAGTTGGTTCTTTAGTTGATTCAGAAGACTGCTGACATTTAGACATATCTACTCTAATGTAGTCTAAAATGGAAATGAACAACATCTTTCAATACAACCAACGAACTGACATAAAATGGTATTCGTTTCTCGAGCTACGAACCTTTTTTATTGTCACAATTGTATTCGAACCTGTCACATTCGTCCAAAAACATTCGTATGCTTGAATGGGATATGTCCGAACCACATTCAGCAACCCATGTATGGTTGCAGGTATTTGCCAAATAACACGGGTCTTGCACCTAAAACTTACGTTATCTTTAGTATTTGAAGTTACTTTCTAAAAACCATTACTTAAATTACTAGAAGGTAAGTACTTGCCGAAATAAAATGTTGAATTGACGGGGCAATAAAATACGCAGTTACAGTAACTAAAACAATAAATGCAAAGAGTTAAAATAATCCATAAAAATAGCTGAACACTTTAAAAAAATATTTATAAAATACCAGCCACGAGAATTATGCCCATTTTGAAACTGAAAAACATACCTGCAATATATGTAGACATAATACATTTATTTTATTAAAACGATATAGTGTTATTATTCGGTTAAGTTTATCGTCTTTATTTATGTATTTAGTAACATTTTACTACTATGTTATGACAGTAAACAAAACCTATTAAGTAGTATAGTAATTTTATACACTTATGTGCTAGATAATAATTTGGAAGATAAATAAATAAAACTCATGCATCTTAGAACATTATGTGAATTTATACTTGTAAATACTTTACTTATTGTCACACGAAACAATTTATAAGATGTAAGCGCTGTTTTCCCTTTTACTTTTTTTAATGCTTTTTTTTTAGTAAAATTACTTTTCTAAGAAATCTGAATCTTTTGTGCATCCTGTTTTGAAACCTGAACATCCCGTTTTCATGGACTTTGTTGCCTTTGGTTTCACTGTATTTGATCTCATGGTCTTCGTAACAAACGCCTTGAAGATCTTCATGAACATCGTGCCATTCATTAGGACCGACTCTTTTCTCAAAATTATTGTTTCCAGCAAAATATCCTTGACTTTCTTGCTCAGAGTTTTACTTGTTATCTTAGATTTTTGCGCGTTTTTTCTTCTAGCCTCCTTTTTCATTTTCTCTCTGCGGATTTTTGGGATAGGGGTATATCGCCTCTTTCCATGTAACATACGGTAGGGTAGACTCATCTTTAATGTGGTCCTATGAGTATGTGGAATATGTCTTCTACCGTTTCTAGTAACGATCATGAATCGTTGTCCCATTCTATGGAAGCGGTGGTTGGGGCAAGTGGGATGGGACGGACACGGCGCTGCAGTGGGACACATCTGCGGTTTGTTGAAGCATTCGGAATAATTTTGAATTTCGTACACTGAAACAAGTGATAGAATCGACATTAATTCGGACTCGGGAAACAATTTATACGATGTAAGCGCAGTTTTCCCTTTTACTTTTTATTTGTGCTTTAGAAAAATTACTATTCTAAGAAATCTGAATCTTTCTTGCATCCTGTTTTGAAATTTGAACATCCCGTTTTCATAGACTTTGTTGTCTTTGGTTTCACTGTATTTGATCTCATGGTCTTCGTAACAAACGCCTTGAAGATCTTCATGAACATCGTGCCATTCATTAGGACCGACTCCTTTCTCAAAATTATTGTTTCCAGCAAAATATCCTTGACTTTTTTGCTCAGAGTTTTACTTGTTATCTTAGATTTTTGCGCGTTTTTTCTTCTAGCCTCCTTTTTCATTTTCTCTCTGCGGATTTTTGGGATAGGGGTATATCGCCTTTTGCCGTGTAACATACGGTAGGGTAGACTCATCTTTAATGTGGTCCTATGAGTGTGTGGAATATGTCTTCTACCGTTTCTAGTTACCACCATAAAACGCTGTCCCATTCTATGGAAGCGGTGGTTTGGGCAAGTGGGATGAGAGGGACATGGTGCGACAGTGGGACACATCTGCGGTTTGAAGCATTCGGAATAATTTTGAATTTCGTACACTGAAACAAGTGATAGAATCGATATAAATAAATACTCGGGAAATACTGACTCGGGTTTGGTATTCCGATAAAAGAATTTACAGGTTCGAATGCGCCACTATGAACAGCTTTAAAGAACTTTTCATCGTTAGTTTCGTATTTATAAGACCAACTTAATTTTTCTCAATCAATCAAACCTTTTTCTATGAAAATCGGTATCCAGTGGATATTTAATTAGATACTCGTAGTATCTTCAGAGAGATATGTAACATAAAATAACCATTAAATACTTATTTGGGTTTAAGATATAGCCTATGGCAATCGACTGCTGGATGTAAGCCTCCCCAAGAAATGCTACAGCAGAATGAGGAGGAGCTCCTCTCCTACACTATGTTTGCTCGACCTTACATCGGAATTGAACTACCAAAAGAAGTGAACTACCATAAAATGAAAGATGTAGAGAAAGAGACAAAAAGTACTTTTCTCCTTATCGCAGTTGAACTCAAACATGTCGCACTCGTCGATGAAGAGGCGCAGGTGGTCGTCAGTCGGCTCCAGCCCGCACTCCGGGATCCAGGTGTGGTTGCACAGGTCTGCCAGGAGACACATGCTGACAGGCTAGAAAGATAGACTGGTTCAGTATCAACAGAACTTCAGAAGTTTACGATCAAATCCCCTATTCAGACACACATAATAATACATTTAGATGATACTCAATACTCAAATCTTTAATGCATCCATAATGTTACAGAGGTGGTATGTATGGTTTTAAAAGATACAATTATGGACCCTGTCGGGCATAGCATTCTACGAGAGGAGAAGAATAATTTTTATTGCACTCCACATGATACTGAAAATTTAAGGTTTTACGATTTTATTTTCAAGATAAACCAGGAAGAGGACAGTTTAAGAAAAAGTGGAAGGCAGAAAATTGTTACAACCCAAAACATAAAGAAGCTCTATCCTACTTTTATATTTATATAATAGCCTCCGCCCGCGACTTCGTACGCGTGGATCCCGTTTTACCCCCTTCATCTATCTTACGCGGTTTAGATTTTTTCATACAAATGTTTTTTCCCGCTAACTCCCGTTCCCGTGGGAATTTCGCAATATCCTGTTGCAACTAAGCTTTAAGTTTACTAAGGTACCTGCATGCCAAATTTCAAGCGTCTATCTTACGTGGATTAGATTTTTTCATACAAATGTTTTTTCCCGCTAACTCCCGTTCCCGTTAGAATTTTGCAATATCCTGTTATAACTAAGCTTTAAGTTTACTAAGGTACCTACATGCCAAATTTCAAGCGTCTAACTTAAGCGGTTTAGATTTTTCATACAAAAGGATTTTCCCGCTAATTCCCGTTCCCGTGGGAATTCCTAAGTATCCTATAACCTGCCCAGGAGTATGAAGAATAATTGTACCTAGTTTAGTTAAAATCCGTCGAGTAGTTTTTGTTTCTATAAGGAACATACAGACAGACAGACAGACAGACAGACAGACAGACAGACAGACAGACAGACAGACAGACAAAAATTTTACTGATTGCATTTTTGGCATCAGTATCGATCACTAATCACCCCCTGATAGTTATTTTGAAAATATATTTCATGTACAGAATTGACCTCTCTACAGATTTATTATAAGTATAGAATAGATATAGATTTCTTGGTTTTCGTGCCGAGTATGTAGTCCTGATTTACTACAATTTTAATAAAAACATGACATTAAAACACAAACAAGTTTCAAGATATACGATATTGTGTCAAAATTCCGTACAGAACACCTCAGTTTAGATTGCACCTGAGTTTCAATTTCGCCGCTTATTCACGGTCACAAAAGCCTAGTGCTTCATTGTTTGCTCTCACTAATGAGACAAACTGCGGTCTTTTCAGACTTTAGGGATCCACAAAGATACGTAGTATATGAATGATTCAAAGTAATAATAGTTACCGCATGTCAGCTCATTGGACAGTCGACTTATTATCTACTAGCTTTCCGCCCGCGGCTTCCCCCGCGTGGAATTTTGTCTGTCACAGAAAAACGTTATCGCGCGCGTTCTTGTGTCAAAAACCGGGATAAAAACTATCCTATGTCTTTTCCCAGGACACAAACTATCTCTATGCCAAATTTCATCAAAATCGGTTCAGTGGTTTAGGCGTGAAAGCAAGACAGACAGAGTTACTTTCGCATTAATAATATTAGTATAGATAAGTCAACTGAGTCAGTGTCTGAAATATGGGAGCGTTTTTTGTGATTGCCAAACGTCAGCGAGACTTCAGTGTGCTTACCATGAGTTTACGTTACGTGTGCTCGCTAGCGACTGCGTAAAAAAATGTCATTAATTGTATGACATATTGTGCAGCGCCCTTAGCGGCTACTTTCAAGAAACAAAATCTCCATAGAGGTTTTTGACGTTTTCGCTAGCGAGCACACCTAACGTAAACTCATAGTAGGTACATAGATCTCCTTCAGATTTATATGCTCTATAATGTATCGTTGCGGCATGTCAGTCCTTTACCTCAGGCACTGACTTATAGCGCTGTACCTATAGAATACGGATTACAAATAGGTGATGGCAAAAGCTAAAAAGATGTCTTTCCTCTAGAGCAAAAGTAGTCCACAAAAGTGTTTTTCTAATAAAGTATTAAGTGGCAAAGGAAAGAGTCCATTAAAAATCTATCGTCAAACTCTTACGAAAATAAAATGTTGATTTGAAGGCAGTGGTATGCAAAGGGTTACTGAAACAAAGGTAATAATAAATTATTCACTCGTTGACTGAGAGAGTAAGCTCTATGACATTCAGTCCGCCTCTTGGATGGTTTTTCAAGGCAATAAAGTGCAAAATTAAATAATTCATAAATAAGTATGCTGAAGTTCTTTGTCTCTTTTGATTTGATGTCATTAGTCAGACAATCTGCCTAGCTTTTTTGTGAAAAATCCACGCCTTTGACAAGCTTTAGTCGAGCAATCGGTTGATCGATTAAGTTTTTTTAAAGTACTTTCTGCTACAAGACCAAAAAAAATCAAAAATGCCTTCACAAAAATGCGTCAGAAC